GGGGGGATGGGTTAGCCTGGTGATGGATATTATAATGGGCACGTACTGAGTGGAGCACTGGGTGTTATATGCAAACAATGAATCATGGAACACTACATCAAAAACTAATGATGTAATATATGGTGATTAACATAACAATAAAAAAATTTTTTAAAAATCACAGAGGGGAGGGGGGTGGGGGGATGGGTTAGCCTGGTGATGGGTATTAAAGAGAGCACGTACTGAATGGAGCACTGGGTGTTATACGCAAACAATGAATCATGGAACACTACATCGAAAACTAATGATGTAATGTGTGGTGATTAACATAACATAATAAAAAAATTATTAAAAAAACTAATGATGTATGATGATTAACATAACATAATAAAATAAAAATCTTTTAAAAATGAATAGACAAACAAAAAGCAGAATCAGACCTATAAATACTGAGAACAAAGTTATGGCTGCCAGAGGGAAGAGGGGTTGGGAAATACAGGCTTCGGTTACAGAATGAATAAGTCACAGGAATAAAAGGCACAGCATGGAGAATATAGTCAATGATATTGTAATTGGATTGCATGGCAACAGATGGTAGTTACACTTGGGGCATAGCATAACAACATATAGAGAAGCATAACAACACATAGAGAAGCTGAATCACTATGTTATATACCTGAAACTAATGTAACATTGTGTGTCAACACAATATAATAAATAATAATAATAGGAATACATATTTAGCTCTATAAAAACTTTTACTCATTTCCCTTGTGATAGTCCTCATATTATTCTTAACTATAACTATTTTGTTTCATTTTTGGTTCAGTGTTTATTGTGCAGCACTTATGTATGTGTTTTTTTAAAAAATCTGTAGCTCCTAGGATAAGCTTGTCTTATTTTTCTAAGTGTGTGATATGTTTCAAACATACGAAAAATATAGGAACACTATAATTTGAATAAATTTTATATGTAGTATTATTGATTTGTGGTCAGAGAATGAAATCTAAATAGATACTTTTATTTATGGTTGTCTTTATAGTGACTAGTATAGGATCAAAGCTTTAAGGTGAGTTCTCTATTGTATAGTATTTACAGCTTGTCATCATAAAACTTTTATAAACATCTAATAAATTGAATTAATAATCATTACCTTTTTGCTTTGAAATGTGAAGAATGATAGCAGAGTGTTAAATATTACTATAATTGTGTCTTCATCTTTTACCAGTTTTTATCTGTTTGGAATTTATATTTAATAATATTGCCATTGTTCTGTTTTATAATTTCCAAAGTTAGTTGCCCTTTGCCCATGCTTTGGAAATTTTTGAGGGTTTTCTTGTGATTTCATGGTAAGCTCTTTAATGGAATTTTTTACAGGAGGAAAAATCTGATTTGGAATATAAAGTTCTCCTGCTAGGATTTTCAGACAGTTATAGTTTCATGATTGTTTGTACATATTTGCCTTTTTGTTTAGATTTTTGAGGAAGAGTCCCAATACCACTGTGCTTTAATGCTCAACCTCCAAAAGTCGCCTTATACTGGGACATGGAATTTTACTTCCTGCAGTGAACGCCACACTCTGTCTCTCTGTCAGAAATATTCAGGTATAAATTATTATGTAGGTAACTATGGTACTTTATGCTGTTATATATATACAGTATTTTTCACAAAAAATCTTATAAATGAATTACTATTAATTTGTAAACATAGCTTCCCTAAAATTTCAACATGGCTAAATCCATATTGGTTCAGTGAGTCAGATTATCTCAAATAGAATGTGATCTTTTTTAATTATCATTGCTTTACTTAATTAAATACCAAAATTAAGTATCAGTTGGAATTTGTTAATAGGAGTTGCCTAATTATAGGAAGTTATGATTGTTCTTTTTTCTACTCTGATATTTTTCAGCTATTACTTTCTTGGAGAAAGGAGAAAAAGTGTAATGTTTTTAATTGACTTTTGTAAACATTCACAATTAAGTTTATCACACACACACACACAAAAGTGTGGAGCATTATAAACAGATCACTGTGTGTACCTTACTGTAACCCAAATAAAAATAAAATGTGTGCTTAAAAATAAGAATCATCCATATTTTCAAAAAGATATTTTTAGAAGGTACTACGTTGTTTTCATTGATTACAGTGTTTTTAACAAATGATTAAAAAGAAAAAAACTGTCATGTAATGAGAACCTCAAGTAGATAATCCATGTACTTCTAAAGAAATTTTTGTTAAACTATGCTCATTTGTCTCATACTGTTTAGGAACTGCTTTATTCAGAAAAGTACCGTAAAGCAATAGTTCAGTACAGCCTCTCGTGGGCTGTTTTGTTCATTTCTTTCATTGGAGCTCTCCCAGATGAAAACTTCGAAAGGGAACACCTAACACTTTCTCTTGTTGAAGGAGTTTAAACAAAGGAGGTATTTGACACCAACCTGAAATGGTGATCTTATTGAAGGCTGCTTTTTTTCCTTCCTAAATCAGATCAACAAAAACAGAATTTTGTTTTAATTTTAGAAAACAAATTTTGTGGCTCACACATATTACCTAAGGTGCACAGCAAGACATACCTAGTTCTCCTAACCAAAATCTAAAATAAATGAATAGATAAGTAATATCTGAAATACTCATTGTGGAGACTTGAAGATCAACGTCCCATGACTTGCAGAGTGGGTGATTTTTTGTTTTTTTTTTTTAAACACAGAAGTTGAAAGCAAACAGACCTTGCAGAATACTTCAGACACAGTAAAGTATCTAAATAATCTGTACAAAATCATCCTGAAGTCTATGACTTGGTTTGATGCTCTAAGGGAGTGTCAGAAAGATAACATGCAGCTGGTGAGCATCACGGACCCGTACCAGCAGGCATTCCTAACTGTGCAGGCAGTTCTTCATAACTCTTCTTTATGGATCGGACTCTCCAGTCAAGACGTAAGTTTTCAGTTCCAACTGCCTGGATTGGGTGATGGAATGTGAAATTTTTGTTGCACACAGCATTTTTCCTATCAGACTAAAAGAACCTGGAGATTGTAAAATCTTACTCTAGTGAGTAAATTTCATGAAGTGTGTAATTTTTAGTGGCCATCGTCTTTCTACTGTTGAAAGATCTGGTGCTTTATTGTTTAGATGAAGAAAAAGTTCTAGTGGACATATGTAGCTGATCACTTCTTTTTATTCTAGTTAAAGACTGAGTGGGACTCAGGAACTGCCATGTGTCCCCAGCCAATGAAAAGAAGAGAGGAAGAAAAGAATTTAAAAACCAGATAGGGTTGAGTCAGGGTGGGGGGTGGGGGTGGGGGGCAGAGCCCAGAGGGAGAGGGAGAAAGAGAATCCCAAGCAGGCTCCACACCCAGTAGAGCCTAATATAGGGCTCCATCTCACAACCGTAAGATCATGACCCGAGAGGAAATCAAGAGTCAGATGCTCATCTGACTGAGCCACCCAGGTGCCCCTATAGTAAATTTTTTTTAAAGAAAATTTAAATCATCTGTAATCCCAGTACCTAGTAACAAATATGATTTAATAATTTGGTATATATCTCTCAAGGTTTTTTTCTATGTACACATGTATGTTTTTAAGACTTTTGGGATCATACCATTTTTTAACTTTTTTTCACCACTTAAGGATTTTGATCTTGTTTCTTATCCTATTTTCTTTCTTTTTTTTTTAAGATTTTATTTATTTATTTGAGAGAGAGAGAGTGAGTGAAAGAAAGCAGAGCACAAGCCAGGGGGAGAGGCAGAGGGAGAGGGAGGAGCAAACTCCCTGCTGAGCAAGGAGCCCAATGCAGGACTCGATCCCAGAACCCCGGGATCATGACCTGAGCTGAAGGCAGCCACTCAACCAACTGAGCCACCCAGGCACCCTCTTATCCTATTTTCAATCTTCACCTATGTTTCTCTTTTTCCTTTCACTCTTTAACAGGTTTATTACATATCTGCATAAACTGCCTTAAATCTTTGGAACATGATATAAAATAAACAAAACTTCCATTGAAAGCAATGGAAGTGTATTGAAAGATTTTAAACATGATAGTAACAATAACAGATTTTTACTTAAGAAGAATTGTATTGGCAGAGGATGGGTGAGGAAGTGAGGGATCTAGAGCTTTCTTGTAGAAATTCATGCAGGAGCTGATGTTGGCCTGAACTAAGCCCTGTGGCAGTTCTGGGTTATGTAAAGTCCAGAGTGTGGCTGTGGCAGCAGCTCTCTTAAGTAGGTAGAACTGGAAGTACATAGAAACAGAGGAAGTCAAGAAGGCTGGGGAACTGGTGAGTCATCCACATGAACATGAATGTCCATAAGTCAAAGGTAGGACCAGGAGGATGAGCAAGACATGGGGCATCACCTTAGTAAATGTCAGGGAGGAACAAGGAGGCTAAGTCCTAAGTGAATGTCAGAAAGAGGCAAGGAATCTGGGAGTTTGCATAAACCTTAAAGGAATGACTAAAGGAGATAAAAATACCTATTATTCCATTCTCATAGCCCTCTGGTATCTGAGAATGGAAAAATAAACAGCCTGCCGTTGTGGATGTTGAAAGGACATTATTCCCTTAGAAAAGATACATTTTAATTAAGATCAATTAAGGTCAAGAATTTAGTAAAGAGATACTTACAGTCTTAATAAAGAGAGAGGGTATTCAGCAAAGAGAGAGGGTGCAGGGATTTATCTACAAGGAATAGAAGTTCCAAAGGCCCAGGTACTTGGGTTAGTTGTGAGTGCAGCAAAGGTGAAGGAATCTAGGGTAATACCAAGTACAAGCAACATCACTTGGCCAAAGATCCACATTCAAGGCCCAGGAGCTTAGGGATTAACTAATGACAAAGTTACAGCTGGAACCCTGGTGGAGAACAGTTTCAGAATGAAACAGTGGTGTTGAAGCTTAAACATGTTTGCTATTTATAGTTTACTAAGGATACTGTGTGTGGCCTTTACCCAATATTCCAAATAAACCAGTGATGTAAAATTGCCTTGGGCCTCAGGACAGCTTAGTTCATTGGGTCAGTATATAAGGCCTGGTGCTCTGGCAGTGCCATGGGGAAGCTCAAACAGGTCTGTACCCCACAATCTATCCCCTGGACTCTGTACCTCTCTCAAGATAGGTGGGTGGTCAGGCCCTTGTCAGGATGTAAAGACGGACGGATGTTCACAGACTTAGTGCACAATAGAATAGAGTGAATGAGGAAGCTTCATCATAAAGACAAGTGTAAAAACAGCAGTGTGAGGTGCACAAGGCCTGAGTCAGGGTTAAGAGGAAGGGAGCCAACATTTATGTAGCTCTTCCTGTGTACCAGCTGGCCATTATGTTACATATTACCCCACTAATTCCAGCCCTGAGGTTAAGTGTCACATCCATTTAATAGCTGAGGGGATGGAAACTTGGCAAGGTAAACTCAAATCAAAAACTAATACATGACTGAACCAGGATTCCAAACTAGATAAGCTTAGCGCCAGAGCCCATGTTCTTTCCACTACTTCATGTTGTTTCTCTGACTTCCAACAACCCACAGTTCCGTTTATGTGTGAGGCAGCCCAGTGTAATGGCTCAGACCATAGACTCTAGCGTCTGATGGCCTGGAATAGAATCCCAGCACTGCAGTATATATTCTATGGGACTTGGCACACATGACAAGCCGTCAGTTTCTCATCTGTGAAATGGATACAATAGTTCTTATCTCATATGGTTGTTGTGAAGATTAAGTAAGTTAAT